TTGTCAATGCTAAATACAGTTTACAAAGAGAGACAACCTCCATAAGCGTAACTGAACTGACAATAACTAGATTCCAGCTTGTGCTTTTTCAGCAAGCTCACTGCAAGGAGCTTTAACCTGTCTCCAAAAGGTAATAAATGAAAGGTTTGGCTCTTAAAATTGGAGGTCAGTTACATACTTAATGATGAAGCATATCTTTAAATCTATTTCTACTATTATTATCCTAGCAAAAAAAATTAATTAACCAGGTCAGGGAGGCTATGAGGGCTAATGTGGAATGTAATTATTCCTGATCTTTAGACATGTACTTCACATAAAGAGATAGTCCTTATTCAGCTCACCAGGTACCTGAATTGTCAGTAGTTAATCATGGATAAGAAGAGACTCATTGGTTCAGCCTCTTAAGTGTGATTCAAATGATTCCTGTTCAAGGACAGTTTAAATAGTTGTAACTTTTATGCTACTATTCTTTTGTTTGTTTACTATCATAGTAATCATGTTCACTCTTTCTGACTGAAAGAGAAAATTCAAGAAGATTAATATGAAACTACAACAGATAAATGTATAGATTAAAAGCTGGAAAAAATAATTTGGAATTATTTCTAGTGGCTGAATTAAAACAGAATACTTATAAGAGCAGAGGAAGCCAGTTTTTCTACGCAATGGAAGTCATACTAATTCAAACAGAAAATGAAATGCTCTGCAATGGCACTGAGTATAGTACAGGGGAATAAGGTGAAAGGAAATGACCCAAATGAAAGCAATTTGGGTCAGCTGTCACAGTAATACCCATGACAAGTTTTTGCAGAGAAGCTCAATAACCATTGTCCCTTTTAAAGATTTCAGCCACAATTTAGAACTTGCTCTAATGAAGCCTGCTCACCGGAGGAGGGAAGCCCTTAAACATTCATCCCTTAAATATACACACACACACATCCCGGAGGGAAATCCTAGCTAGAGCAGGATGCTCCAAGCATCAGGGAGATCAACTCCCTTGCTCAGCTGAATGTGGGAGGGTCAGAAGCAGTTCTCAAGCCTCAAACTGAGAGAACTGAATTCTGGCAACAAGGCACTGAATTCACAGGGATTTCAGAACCTCAAGCAGTTTTCAAGGTTAGAACCATTCTAGACATGCAAGCCTTGCCTTCTGCCAGTGTAGTCTTACCTTCATGATGTACCACCAAATTCCTGCTTTAAACAGCTTTTCCTCCTTATCCCTAGAGGTTTTTGCATTCACAGTATAAGCTAAGAGATGTGCTTTAAATAGTCTCATTTTGTCCCTTTTATTTTAAGAATGAATACATTTTATTGAACAAAGAAGAAAGCTCTTTAAAAATCTGAATCAACCCACAGACTGATATGTGTGCTCTTACTTGCCCTACAGTATTTTCTCAACTTTATTTCCACTAAAAGCAATGATTTCTCTCACAACTTTGCAGAATGGAGAACTTAATTTGTCATACTAGATTTCCTGCCATCTCTGCGTACTCCTCTGTAGAAGAGTGTTTATGAGAGTGCTTATGACTATTATGAACATTTGAGCGGAAAAAGAATAATACACTGCATTTATTTGAAAATTTTCATTTAAAATTCTCAAAACATTATGTTTGAATTGGGGAACAGGAAACAATTTGTCAAATTTCAGATAATCAGAGACAGAACTGAGAACAGCTCCAGATTCCCACTCCTTTAGTTAAGAGAAGAAACTGCTTTCCCCACCAAGCACACCCGGAAAGTAACATTAGCTTCATGTAGAAAACATGAGATTTTTGCAGAACACTTAATGACCTCAGTACTCTTGAAATATCTATGTTGTTTTCATATCCTAAACCCAGCTAATATTAAAGACTGTTGACAAAGTTTTGGATGTACAAATCTGAAGTAAAGTGCCCCTGTAAATGGTCTTAAAAACAAAACAAAACCATAACTACATGAAATAAATAAACAAAAAATATACAACACAATGTAAATAATAAATATCAAGTAATGAAAATTCTCAGTAAATTAATCCAGGAGGAGTCTAAGGAAAGATGAGTTTTATTTAATATGGATTACTTCCATTTTTATATTTGGTTGACAGAAATTATTTAAATCCCACCTGAAGCCCTTTCAAATTGTTCAAATGGCTAAATAAACTGGATGCATTTATTCACAAAAATTATTGTTTAAGAATGAACACTGAACCTTAGAAGATGATGGTGGTACACTGTGTGTCTTGTGATGAAAACACTGCATCAGCAATGCCCCACTCCTGCATTCTGAAGAACATACTGCACTTATTTCAAGTAGCTGTGCCATGAATAGGCCCATTCCCAGATGGAACTGGCATCTGTGCTACTTGTATTTTGTAATCTCTTCAAAAGCGGATTGTCAGGGAGTAGTACTATTGTTTTTCTATGCATACAAAGTATAGATAAGAATCCACATCATTTTGTATAAGTAATCACTGTTTCCTGAAAGTGGTTGCTCAAGAATGTCCTTAAACAAATGCACCTTCTGCATAAAATCAAGTACGTTACTGGACTTCTGAATTCTACTGAGCCCAGAATCTAATCTGAGAATGTAAATGTTTACTAGAAAATTGTTTTTTCCCCTCAAGCCACAGAGACCATGATCCAGCTACTCTCATTTCAGATATCTATACTATAGGCATCAGCATGCACATCCTTTGTACTTAACGGAGAGAAACGACCATTTTAGGGAACAATTAATCTTACATATTTTAAATGTCTACTATAGGACAAGATGAATTGCAGCCTAAAACTGTTCACTCTCTCTCCATTCACTATAAAAACAATCTGGAGAATCGAGACAGAGTCTGTACTCCAGTTTTCTACTTTTTGTTGAATTCCACCCAGAGAAACCAGTGTGACTTCAGTACTGGTATTGAAGTTTCCTGAGAAGATGCTAGCAGAGGACCTGAGAAAACCAGCACAGCACCGAGTCCCTTACCTGCCTCTTGGTTTACTTCCATCTCATCTGTAGCTCTTAAGGAGCTACACATCTCAACTCAACAAACCCATTATGAACTGCAGAGGCAACTTAGCAAATAATTTCCCTCCCAAGCAACTCCTGGCTACCAAAGAAGTCGCCACAAAATTACCAATGAACAAATAAATAAAGAAGAACCATTTGGCTTACATGCAACTGGACTATGTAAACTGGTGTTTAGCCTAGGAAATGATCTCCTAACAAGTTTTTTTTTTTTAGTAATCTTCTCATAAGGTCAATGTACGTTTGAGATGGCATCTGTTCAACATGCCTAGTGCTGGAACCTACAATGTTCTTTGGGCAATAATATGCCCACTACCAATCTGCCTAACTAGCTGGGAAAGGAAGCAGACCTCGCTGCCTCAAATACACTGATAAGATTCTTGGAAAGATAAATAAAGAGGCAAAACTACTGAGACCTATGGAGTAAGAGTAGCTGATATTGGCAAGAATTTTTAAACAAATATAGGGAAGGATCACCAATAAATAATTTAGCTCAGATGAACAGAACAATCATTAAAACACCTTTGCATACACGTCTAGGAAAGGATGGGAAAGAAAAATTGGGGAGTTTTCAGCACTATGTAGGAGAAAAATTGGGAGTGAAGAAGAAAATGAACCTGCAACCTATTCCAAAATGAATCTGCAACATATTCTAAGACTGCATTTCCCCACAGTCAGTGGAAGGGTAAAGCTACTGGAAAGCATTGAGTCAATTGAAACATAAAGTACCTTCGAACTTTTTCCTGCAAAGCAGGATACTTCCCAGTAAAACATACCCACATTCTCTAAATAGGAACAAAAATTATCTGGTCACGAGTCCACTTTCTGGGTCCTAATTCTTCAGGGAATTTAAATAATTAGAAATTTCTCATGCAGATAACTGTTCTGTTTAGCAGACAGCTATGTTTGTCTTAGCTCTTATGGTAAGTTAAGAGTCCTTTTGTAGGATTCTTTGTTTTCTGAAACCAGACTTGCAAATGGCGTGTTTTTTCCTTTCAGTACTCTTACATCTCTTCCACCATTTATGTACACCTAATATGAACATGCATTCTTCCAACAGGCAATGGCAATAATGGTGCTTTAAAATTCAATTGTGTCTTTCATCCCAGGTATCAATGCATTTATGTATGTTAATTAATCTCCTTTAAGTATAACCGAAATTGTAACCTGCATTACGATATTTGCAAAAGCACTTACAACCATTCCTTTGGGATGAGGGAAGGAAAAACTTCAGTTTTGGCATCTAGTAACATGGCAATCAGCTGAGTAAGGGAAAAAGCTGACAGTCCAAGCTTATAAGAAATGATTGGTAGCACAATCATTTGTCAGACCAAACCAAAATAAATCAAAGAATAAGTCCATAGAAATGCTTTCAAAGTGGGAAGCTGAAAGGGTAATAGAGTCACATATTAATAGTGCCTCTACCTACATGACACTCCCTATGTATTTGCACAAAACTAAACCAGGTTCTGAGTACAAGTACACATAATTGAATACCTCCAGAACACAAAGGTACAGTTCCTCCAAAAGTACATGGGACACATATACCTGTGGGTATTTGTACACGAGCAGACTGGTCCCAGGGGCTTAGTACTGTCTCAATGTCTATTATTCTATTCTACAGCTGTTAGCTTCAGATAATAAAATGGAAATTTTTTTTTCTAACCTTCTGATATAGCAACTTTTGCCTTTGTAGAATAAGGAATTCTATAAACAATGACTGAGACTCTGCTTTTACTTCACAAAATACACGTCAAACCGATTGCAGATTTCCGAATTAAAGACGAGGTTTAAGAAACACTTCATAACTTACAGAAGAAAACTCTGCTTATTGAAAAAAAGCTCTTTCCACCAAAAGATGTTTGACAACAATTTTCTAAGACACAAAGACCCTCCATCTTTACTGAAGCTTGTTAGTAAAGCATGTGGCTGCTTTATTTTAGATCCTTCCCTCTCCATAAATGGAATTTAAGTATAATCAGAAGAGAGCAATAAAACACACTGACCTGAATTTGCTGCTGCAGTAGATTGATTTTGTGCTGCTGTTGCAGAAGTTGCTGCTGTTGTCTTGCAATCTATTAGAAATAAAATTGCCATTAAATTAAAACAGTGATATTGAAACTTCAATATTATTGAGTGAAAACCACCTTATTAGCTATTCTTTATTATATTTTTATTAAGCATCATTTATTTTAAAAAAAATTAAGGATATTTTATGGGTATGTGATGCAAACACTTTAAAAGCAACATAAAAATCTTGTTAGCCAGTAAGAAATATGTATTTTAAACACTTGGGCCTTAATTCCACAAAGCACAGAAACATGGGTTTAGCTGTGTGCACATGAATAATCTCATCACTATTCAACAAAGCATTTAAGCCTGTGGTGATCTTTGACTATGATGCATTACTGTTAGCTACAATAGGAATGAAACACATGCTTAAAATTAAGTGCTTTGCTGAATGGGGATGGGATTACACAGGTGCTAAAGGTTAAACACACATTTTCCTGCTTTGCTGAACTGAAGCCTTAGCTAGTGCTGAATAGTGAAACATCTATAAATACAAGCTCCTAGGGCAAGCTTCTCTAACTTATTTCACAGTGAGCAGCACATTACTTCCTTTGTAAATCTCAGTCTTCCTTGGAACTATTCTAGTAGGGCCTCAATCTGTACAAAAGCAGTACCTGATATTCAGTAACATCCTCAGCACAACCCTGTGAAATATGTAGATATTCTTACCCTCATTTGGTAGATTTAGTAAGGGATCTGTAGGGTAAAGTTTCACTCTATCCGTTCTCTAACACAGATGGGGAGAAGCAAGCGTTCAGGGCAGGGAACACTGAGACTAAGGAGAGAGAATCTACCACAAACACCCCACCCCCTGAGTCCAACAAAGAATCTAAAGTCAGCATGCAAGAACAGAAGGGAAAAAAGATCCATCCCTCAGATCACAGAGCTTCTTCCTGCAAGGGGTAGCGTGGACTGCAGCTATGGGGAAAAAGCTGCAGGGAGATGAGATAACAACTGGACTTCTGCTTTAGAAGGGTAACTATGCAGCAGAGTGAAACAAGGACAAGATTTGTGTTTCCTGGAAACCCTAGCCTCAGCACTTCTGCTACTTTCATTTCTTAAATATAATTTCCCCTCCTATAAATATTTATCTAGAGCAGAATAACCACATAAAACAGCAAGAAGTGGTGACAAAGGTAGTATGGTCACTCAAATCCACTGTTTCAGTTTTGGCAAACCCCCTCCTGATCTCCTTCCCTCCTCACCATTTTCTGAACACACTTAGTTTGTTATAAACAGAGAAAGGTGAGCAAAATGTTTTTATGATTAAAAAATACAGGAATGTAGCAAGGTTGATATGGAAATAAACAACCACGTAGTTTTGGTGCAAACAGTTCAGATTAACTCAAAAGGAATCTGCAGTTACATGTTAACAGCTTGTAACTGTGCACACAGGGATGAAGTCTCATTTCCTTAAGCTCTCACTTTGTCACCTGGAAATGAATCTGTAATTTTTTTCACTGCTACGGTTAGAATTCACTTTTGTATGGGAGACCAACACAAAATTCATAATATTTTATGTCTTGCATATGGCCTGAAAGGGACTAACTAAGGTCTACATGATTTTGGGGCTGGATCAAGGCAAAGTGACTCATAGAAAAGGAATCAGGCAACTGTCATATCCCACTGCACTGATGCATGTAAGAGGGCTTGAACTCCCTTTATGTGCCTGTGTTCAAATATTTCTGGACAAATCTCCCAGTAAAGTCAATAAAAATATGGTGGATGAAGACATGAAGAAGCATACCCTAGTCTGCTAGTGAAAAACGGAGTTCAAACAGAGCTAGCAGATTGTGTGCCCAGGTAACCCAGGGGCAGCTCCTGAGACCTCAGATCATCTATTGCCAGGTCAGTGGTCAGCAGTAGTGTCTATGCTTGGAAAAGCAACTCTAAAAGTAACTGTGCTACAGGGAATATTTAAAATCCTGTGTGAGTTACTATTTTTAATGAGCAATGTACCAGTTGTGCTATTCCAGCTCAAAAGTGTAGTGCTTGTCACTAAAGATAAACTCTGTTCGGTTTATGTCCACATTGTCCCTCCTGCCAAGATCTCAGTGAAAGTAATAGAAAGATTATCATGATATTCAGCCTCAGAAAGGAATTATTCGTAATTTCACATCGAAACCAGACACCACATGGAGCTGCATCATGGGTGTTTCTTTCCGAGTGCTGTATCTTTTCTCACAGATACGCAGTAGCCTTGGTCCAGAATTGTTCGGTGCTGCTGGTGACCTGGCTACTACTTAAAATGGAAAGCTATAGCTAAGGCAAGGATGAGATTTTTGTTTCGATGTGCAAAGGCACCGATCTGCTGGAGTTCAGACTGCTTTTGAACAGCTTTTTGTACTTGTATGTACAATATAACATCCTTTGAATAGGCATTTCCTGATGAAAACCAGAAACATACCCAAAAGAATCTAATGTCAACGGTTCCTCTTAGATGGAACAGTACCATGATAGAAAATGTATCCAACACCCCGCAATGCAATTACCATAGCATAGTCTTGATGTATAGGCTTGACACAGTAAAGTAGGGTACACAAGCACCATGTGGCTCAAATTCTGAATTTTATTTGCCTATCGGTTGAGCTACATGCTCGCTTCATTGAGCATGACAACCTAGTTTTAAGTGTCATTTAATTTTCATTTTGAAATATAATTACAAAGTGTTCACTGTAAGATATCACTCGTCTGCAAATGTGTCAAGATTAATTTGTGCTAGCTTATTCACAAGTGTCAATAGTTAATTACTGTGTCATCTCTGGATGGCTAAATGACATTCTAACTTCTGATTTTTTACAGTGTTCCTTTATGTTATTTTCCATTAGGGGATGAGTCCATATTCCTACATGTGGGCAAATACTCAAGCACATAAAATACCAGACGTCACAACTCATTAAAATCAACAGAGCATATATTGCTGTATATATCCTATAAAATACATTTAACTGAAAAGATAATTCTAGTAATAATGTCAGATTCCTAAAAACCACACATTAATTTGGATCTGTCTGATCTAATCCCTAGGGGACTAGTATATGGAATCATTGTTGTTACACTTTCGTACAATGAGAAAAGGACAGCTCTTTGCACAACTGCATCTTTTTTCTTTTTTTTTTTTTTTTAAATAAACCTCCCAAAACCTCAAACAAACAAACAAAAAATCCCACAAAAATCTCCAAATCAAATCTTACTTGTAGCAGATATTTGAAGGTTTAAAGATGCTTAAGGTTTTTTGTTCAATTATTTTCTTGTCAAAAAGAGGAAGAGTTAAATAATGGTTATAGTCTGGCTTATTTGTAACTCCCAAATTTGCATCTCAATACAAGGAACAAGAACTGTGAAATCTATCAAATGCCATTTATTCTAGGAAAGAAATTATTTGAATGCCCACACCCTCTTTTTTTCTCAGGGTCCTATAATATTTCCCCTTTCTGGAAAAAGATGTCATTCCTGAAGATATTTAACCTTTGTTAACAAAAAAGATAAAAGGAAGCACCATGCAGAACAGTGTTTATGATAAGCATTCTGCATGAAACATTTTCACAGGTTTCTTTCTTGGAGCCTCACCTGTTCTTGCTGTTGGCGAGCAAGGTCCATTTGCTGCCGTTGTTTTTCAATTTGTGAGGCTGCCAGCTTTTTCTGTTCATCATGGGCAGCCAGGAGCTGCTCCCGTAAGCTGATCAGCTGGGTGATCATAGTAGAGAGCTGTCGCTCTTTTTCTGCCAGGCTTTCTGGTGTACCTAAATGTGCAGGAAAGATTTACTGTAAATACGAGATAGACAATAGTTACCAAGCAATAGTCACTAAAAGAATGGCTGAATCGCCAACATGCTTATTTCAAGTGGCAGCTTGCATATATATTTTACTAACAAATCCCAAAAGAATAATCTAGCACATAGCTTTGCTGTGCTCAAAGCAGTGGAGGATATAACAAAAATTGGAGCGGAAAAGATATAGAGTATTTCTTTTTTTCTGACAGGAGTAATTAACGATACACTATATACACATCCCTATATCTTTTCGATCTAAATCTGCCCAGTGTGATAAATACAGTCACAGTTTATTAGACATAATTTTCCTTCACTTTATATATTTAGCTGTGGGTTTTCGTTTTTTTTCGCCCAAGTATGTAAAAATACTAAAAAAAAATAATTAAAAGATGCTGTTCAGTGGAAGGAGCAGTTTAATAGTTTATTGATCATTTCTCTACAATACCCATATATCTGGTAGGTCATTTGGGTAAATGTAAGCTTTGGTTATGGAATGTGAATAAAAAAGAGCTTTACTTGTCCCTAAGAGAAATGGCTAACCTGAGAAAATGGCTTAAAAATTTTCATGTAACTTTCAAAGTTTACTCTACAGAGAGCACTTAATTAATATGAAACTACGGTACATTTATTCTTTGCACTAATGATGCTTAATGGTCTGTTTATGGGTAAATTGCATGGGTCTCCTAAGTAGAGAGTACAGGTCCTCTTGCAAATCAATCCAAAAATATCCTATGTATGAACATATTACTCTGTCACAAACAGCAATGTCAGGTCCTGTATTTTGAGCTGTATACTGCATTTCCTTGTGTGAGCATCTCAGACCCACAGCTCTGTAAGAGGTAATATAATTACAGTAAGGTAAGAGGTAATATAATTACAGTAAGGTAGCAGCTCAGAAATATTGGAAGAGCATCTGAAGGAGATTTACAGTTGAAAGTGGGATAAATGAAGCAATTTTATGTTGTACAGGAGAACTGAGAGAGAAGTGAATCAAATCAAGAGCTAGGTCTGTAATCTGCCACAGTGATACGAGAAATGGCACAAAAGAGAGGGTATTCACATACTTCCTTTCTTCCATTCAAAATAGAGGACTGTGATAAAGAAGTCACATGACTTTTGAAGAGGAAGAAAATGTGTGAGGAACAGGACCTGGGAGGGAATGGAGAAACTGTCACCAAAATTATGACTCCACCTTCTTCCCAGGAGTAAGATGGATATCTTCTAGGGAAGAGAAGAAAGAGGTTGACAGGTTTCATAAGGAGTGGGAAGACAAAACAGACTCCTGACAAGCAGGTGACAAACCCAAGATGCTCTGCTACTTACATTATGATATGATGGGACCAATATGATTCTTAAACATTTGCAAAAGTGGCATACAAGGAAACCTGTCTGTAAGTTTTTTCCATGGAAAAAGAAACTGCATGGCTTAAGTTATTCACTCTAAACAAAGCAAACTCCCAGAAAAAAGGGTACCTGTTTTTCTGTTCATTTCTTAATTGCATTTAATGACATAAATTACAGAAAATATTAAATTTCTTAGTCACTGTTAACTATCTTAGTTTTAAAAGAGTCTGCAACAAACTGATGTTCCAATACCCTATAATGCCAAATCTTAATTCAGTATACATGTGACATGAGCCTCCAGACAAGGAAAAATTAGTAACTTCTGTTGCAGCAGCAGGTTTAGAAATGGTTAGTAATTTTCTTAGTCACAAGAAGTATGGTGGTAGCATGAAGTTAAAGCTGAAAGACACTTCTATATTCAGACCACTTCGTTGCAAAACCTTGGTGTGATATGCACAACTGAAGCTAAAGAGTTCTGTGCAAAAAGTTGTTTTAAAACAACAAAAAAGAAGATTTTTGAAAGTAAATTTAGGCAGGTATGACGCCAGGAAAACGTCTGCACTGAAGATACTGCCTTGCCATGATCTGTTAGCTTGTATTGAGCTCTGCTCTGTCACCATGAACTCAATTATCTGCAACTTCATCATAGACTTACCTTAACCTTCTCAAACAGTATTTTTCAGTCTTGAAGATTTTGCATCATGGATCAAAGGTTATTTAGGTGCTTTTTAATATGTTATTGTATACTGAAAGTCATTTTCACGGATAAAAGACTGTTCTGCTAAAGAAAAACTCCCTTGCCCATCGTGACTAGAAGAGATCAACCACTCCAGCTATTTTAAAAAGCCAATGGGAAGCAACCTGGTGCCTCAAATGATACTTATTGCCATCCACTGACACCTGGGAAATAACAACCTGAGACTTTCACATCTGTCAAGCAGCTTTGGCATTGTAATGCAGGACCCTGGTCTTACAGTCATAAAATATTTTACACACCCAAAGCAGATATTAATCTCCTCCTCCTTTTCAATATTATTCCTTATACTTTGTACTTGCTCCATAATATGGGTAGAAAGCTACCACAAAGAGTGCTTGTTAAGGCTACAAAGCATTTGATTATTTTGTTATAATTAGTTAGAACAATTTGATATAGTTGCAGCAAATTTGTTTTTCTTTTTTCCCCCTGAATTTTACACAATAGCAGGCAGAAGTAACTGTTCTTTTTCAGAAATTCATAGTAATTGCTTTTCTTTCCCTTTTGCCCCCAGAGAAACACATCTGAAGTGAATGACCCCATTTAAAGTACTCTACTCTTTAATTTGTACTGTGCTATGCAATCCAACAACAGAATAGAACTGATGACCACAGAATGTACACTGTGCTCCTGGAAAATAACGAGACCTCCACGAAGCTGCAAGACACCTAACCGAACACTGCTCACAAGAAAAAGCATAAGATGCAGAATGTTGTATGAATGGGGGGGGAGGAGGTCTAATTTAATTTTAGAGTGGAAAATCCCAACCATTATTTCACAGTTTAAATACCAATAAAAACCAACTTGCTCAGAATGCAGATCAGATTGAGCGGATCTGGCTGGGCCAAGAGAGGTCATCAGTAGCTGTGTGCCATCATCATCTGTTTTGCATCCACTTACTGCAGCAAAAATGAGATTCCTAAACTAATTACTAGTAAATAAACTTCTGCTGCTGACTAGAAATACCTATAAATAAAATAAAAATATAGCTATCTGTAAAATGTATTTGCCATAAAAGCAGATAAAACAAAAAGCTTAGCAAAGAATATACAGTAAATATGCCAGCTTCTGTAAAATATTATATATCACGGTGCTCTCTCTGTTCTAATCCTATTCTCTTACTCCAAAGATAGCAGTGCATTTTTTCTTTTTTCCATAGGATCTTCCTTATCCCCAAAACACATCTGTCTTGAGTTTCTCTCAGATTTGTCAGGTGGATCAGTGCTCCCCAGGGCCTGCTCCATCTGAAGTATTTTAATTTGACTAAACACCTGATTTATTTTATCTCTCCGATGAGAAAGGCAGTTTGTCTTAATAGAGCCTGTCAGCCTACAGTCCCATTCACAGCAATTTACAGGCAGCCAGGGATGCTGGAAAAGAAGAGTGCTGTGATTCTGTATTTTATCCTCCTCCAGAAAGCACCTAAAAGCAGCTATTCACTGCTACTGCATGTGGCATTTTAGAACTGAATTAGCTTTTTATTCAAGTAACTACACTTGTTGTGAATAGCTTATCTGTAAAATTGCTACATTCACTACTGATTTTATTAACCTTTGGCTCGATCACAAAATGGTCTTCAGTTAGGAAAGACCTTTAAAATTGACATATTTTTCTTAGGGGCCTTTATTTCAGTGACTTCAGATATACTGAATTTGATCCATTGACTCCCTTTCCCAGCAGAATTTAGTTTTGAGTATTGGGGGAAGCCGATAGCGTTTAAGGACTTCTTTTTAAAATGAAAATATAACAATCTCATCAAAGTTCAGAAAAAATAGTTATTAATTTTGTGATTATAATAATGCGAAAAATAATTTGGTTGTAGTAATATTTTAATTTTTCCTTGCATGAATGCTACTTTATCCTTTCTTTTTGCATGGATTTGAGCACAAATGGAGACAAAATGTTCAGACTGGACAGAACTAAGGCATCAAAGAGAACTTTTGAGAAATTCTGGTCATAGGTCAATCTAACCAGGAGTGAGAAAATAAGTAGTTGTTATAAATCTGCTGAAAAAGAAAGAAGAGTTCAACTTGTGGTCTAAAATTAGATTTAGAAAGAAAGAATTCTTTGGAAAAAGCCTATCTGATCACAATACTACTTGACTTCCGGTACACAAAGTAATAGAAAGATAGTTGTATACTTTATGATGCATTTAATATAAACCCTAAACATCGTCTTGCATTTTATCTACCTAGATTTCTTTAAGCATTGCAAAAAAGATTAAAAACCTAGTATCCTGCCAGTACAGATACATAATACTACTATAGTTCTTATATCCATCTCTAGCTTACCACCTTTCAACATTTCTATTACCTTTTACTACATATTCAGTCTATACACAGATGTAGCTGCATGACGACAAACATAGCAGGCTTTTCAGTGTTAAATTTGAAACTGCCCTTTTGGCAAGTTGTCATGAGATAGAGGCAGAGTAATAACTGCTTATATGGGAAAAAAATAAGCAGGAATAAAAAAAATAGACTTCTAGACTTACATAGTATAATTTAAACTAACCTCTTTGACACCCAGCAAAAGAAAACAAGATAAAACAACATATACTTTCAAGCGAACAAAAGACAAAATGCTGGAGTCATAAATAAGCCAAAAATTTATAGGCATGATCCAAAATTTTCAGAAGTAGGCTTCTTAGCTGTGACACAAAATTACTGTGGGTTCTTGAATGTGCTTGCCTTAGTTTCCCAACATGTACACACAGTAAAAAACTACCAATAAGAAGGGTTTATGCCTGGTTAGTTAATGTTTCTGAAGTGCTTTGAGATCTTTGCATGGAATCTCTACACAGCTGCAAAGTATTATTGGTTCTCTTGAATTCTGTGATTAGTGTAAAGCATGACAAATATCATACTTGTTT